TCCATGCAGTCTTTGGTCATCCTGCAGATCCTTAGAGTGGCTTAATACATTCCTGGGCCCTTTTTTGTTTGTTTGTTTGTTTGTTTGTTTTGCCACTTTGCACCATTTTCCTTTGATTTGTCTACATTATTTTTTTTTGTTCCAGGATCCAGGGATTTCTGTAGCTCAAGGAGCAGGCCCCACTGGAGGGAAGTCACCAGTGATTGTGTTACAGGATGTGGGTAGGAGCAGCAGTGACCCCCTGACCACCCCAGCGAGGAGCAGCTCCTACCTTTGCATAAGGATATGGGTGTTGCTGGGAGATGAAAAGTCATCTCCTGTTTTAGGAGGTGGAGGCTTAAATGGAGGAAGGAGAAGCTTACAGCCAACACCTGACTCTGCCTGCATTTAATTATCTAATGTGTCAATGCACAAATACCAGCTCTGCTGACCTCAAACATGTAAAAATCCCAAGTCAACCCACTTCCCTTTGTCCCCCAGTGTGGTTTTTCCATGCAAAGAGAGTACACTGGGGTTCTTGCTTCCTTTTTATGATGAAGCCTTCAGGGGACATGGTTTGCATTTGTCTTTAGTCAAAGCAGCTGCCTCAAGGTAACCTGTAGGGCCACAGGAGCTGGGCTTGCAGAGCATCTCACAAGCCAGTCAAAAACTTGTCAGGTCCTGCCACGTGGGCACTGGGATGCTGTGGTCGAATACACAGAACCCTGCAGCAATAAGAAAAGTGGAGGTAAAAGCCCTGTGTACCAGTGGAGGTGTGATGAGAGGGTTGGGTAAGGGGTCCAGCACAGCTGAGTGACTCACTGTAAAGCAGCAGCCCTTTCCACTTCATGGCCTGGACACTGCTTCCCTGAGGACCATGGATGAGATCATATCCATGGCAGGGAAGCATCTGGGTTTGGGGGTGTTGGGGTTTTTTCTTAGCCAGGATTCCTAGCACTTAGGAATGGCTGGTTCTTGTCAGAAACTTATCTCAATCGATCCAAAGAGTCCTTTGTAAATGGCCAGCAGAAGTTTACTGTAATATGAAGCATTTCTCACTAGTGTAATCACCTTCTCAGGAAGCACCTTAATATTTAAATTGACTGTCTCCTGCTTTACAGGCACTCCAAACAGTCTTAGGTGGCAGGTTATAATATGTGCAAGGATCCACAGCTCCAAAGGCAGGGAGACTTGTGTTTGCTCAGGGGTGTTGTCATGGACACTGAGGGTTTCCAGCTATACTCCACTATGGGGATTTCTCTTAGGAATTTTTGTAAGCATTCTTTGTATTTTTAAATTTCCTTTTGTAGGAACAGTGAAATTCCCCTTTTGCTCACGCTTTTTGCTCACTCACTCATCTACTGTGGCTCTGCTGTAGTTAACATTTGCTCTTTGGGACTTTAAATAGATGTTGCATTACTTTATACCTAGCCCCTCAAAGTATCCATTTACGTTAGCACTTCCAGGCTGATTGAACCAAGTTTTATCTGCAAATTTCAGTCTAGTTTAAATCCTGAAGCTGATTCTAAGGCATATTGCTGGTGATTTCAGAGTGAGCCTTGACCAGTTTGAATGGTCAGGATCACATCAAGACACAGCCTTTGTGCTCAGTGCTTTTACAGCTCTGCTCTATGTTAACCTGCCTGCCTCACTTGGGCCATGAGACTCTATTTCCTGAGCCCTTTTCTTGCTCATAATGCTGATGGATCAATAGGGCCATTGTAGCCTTCCACCTTATGCAGGTGCTTTTATTTAATGCCAGTCAAAATGTTTAAGACAAAGCACAGAGACTGTGTACAAGCCCACTTGTACTGGTTGGGTGGGTGCTATGAATTAGTTGGCAGGTTTTAATCCAGTAAAGCCTAGTTAACACTGTCCTTGTGCCCTAAGCTGATTATGATAAATAGGCATGCTGTGTCTTAGCAGACGCCTGAAATCAGATCAACCAAATGCAGTTAGACTGGCCAGGCAAGTTGTTTTTTTCTTCTCTTTCCCTTTTCTTTTTTTTTCCCCTTTTAACTCCCACAGTGGTTCCTCCCTTGCAGCCAAGGTCTGCTAAGGATGCAGTGATGGCAATTGGCTGCCATCCACCCACTGAGGTCACCGAGATTAGAGGAGCTTCTGCAGGAATGCTGCAAGCTCACGTGAACCCTTGGCAGCTGCTGGCTCCCTCACCCTTCACCCTTGGCAGCAGGGACTGTGCACCCCTGGCCAGGAGGAGGCCAAGAGCAGGCTCGTGAGGTGTGTGAAACTCGAGGAGGTGGCTGCAGTGAGTGCAGATTCATTCCTGCCCCCTCCATCAGCAATAAGCCTTCTGTGTGAGACAGGGGACAGTGGGGTGCTTTGCCCTCCCTCTTCCCTGTTTGCAGGTGTAGAGAAGCCTCTGCCTTCCTGGAATGCACCAAGGGTCACACTCTTGGGTTTCACCCCCAGCTCTGGACATATCCATCTGCCACTGCCCCCTGTGCAGGGACAGGTTAGGACACAAAAGTTGCCCCCATCAACAGGGAGAATCAGCAAAGTTTGAAAATCTAGAGCTCAAGGGGGGCCTCTGAAGTCAAGAAGGAGCTTTCTGGTCTGGGACATGCCATTCCCCCTGGCCCTTACAGTTCATTGGTGGGAGAGTTTTCTGCAGCTCCCAGGTATGATCCAGGATACCCCACACCCACAGGGAAGGTTTCCTGTCCCAAGGGGGCTCCTGAGTGAGTGTTCCAGCATTTCATGTCTGAATACAGGCTCTGTTGAGCAGTGCAGGAGAATAAAGCTCCCATTTAGGATATTGCTGTTGCCTAAGAGGCTTTAGGGATTGTTAAAACTCTTGTCTCTCAGGAAACAGTCTGGATTCATCTGTTGCCAGTTAGAGCCATGGGGCTGTGTGGAGGCCTGGGGTGAGTGTTTGAAGCTCCTAACCTTGCTGCCCTCCTTAAGGGCTGTGTGGGGGTGACACAGGGGCACAGGGACAAGGGGACCCCTGCCACATGGAGAAGCTGCCAAAGCCCACCAACAGTCATGGAGTGATCTGGACAGGCACCAGTAAGCAATGGCATGAATGAGGGAGGGGTTCTCTTGCATGCATGGGTGAGGGCTGAAACATCATCCCACTTTTTAGATATTTCTCTTAGAGGTATTAAAACAACATTGAACTAGGAAACAGGAATTCAGCTGGGCAGAGGGAGAAAGTAGATTATGTCCCTTCGGTGGCACCCTGTCTAGGGGGGGTCTGTCCCCATGGGCTCTCTCCATCAGCACTCCAAAGGACAGGACCCTTGAGATGGTTTGGGCTTAAATGTGACCAGCTCCTGTCTGGGCTGTGGGCTGCTGGCCATGCTGCAGTGAGAGGGCAGCCATAACCTCTCTGAGTGAAGGAGAGACAAGGACTCACCAAACAGGAGGTGTGGAACAATCCAGCCTGCTGTGAGGCTCCAGGGGAAGCCTCCTCTCCTCTGAAGGGGTTGTGGCCCTGCTCTGGGTCATTGCTCAGTGTGCTGCTGGCTGTCCCCTTGCTGAGAGTGAGGGGGGTGCCAGGTGGCTGCTTGCTGCACACCTGGACAGGGACTGCAGAGCACCTCTCAGAGCCAGAGCTCTGTGGAAAGCTGGTTATCTTCAGGTGGTGGGCAGGGTTTGAACCTCTGCTCCCTGTCCCCCACACACCCTGCCCAGGCACTCCATCACATGTGCATGGAGGGGGCAGCATGGGCTGCCCCTATAAGGCAGACCAGGGTAGCAGCTGTGGGTTCACATTGTTCCAGTGCAAAGCAAATGGTGGGGGTTGGTTTCTGGAGCTTTTCATTACCTGAGCCCTGCAGTGTTTGCACAGTGCTGACCTCAGTCTGGGTTCAGCTCTCCCACAGAGCCGGAGTGCATTATGAGTTTGTAGACACAACTGCCTGGAAACCAGGTACTCTCAGGAGCTTGTTGACTTTGCTGTGTTGTTCATTTTGAATACCAGGTTTAAAAGGCAACACATGGCTTTGTGCTTATTTCCAGCTTCTGTTTACCTACCACATTCTTTCAGCTCTGAGAGCCTGTGTTTCATTCGCCTTGATCTGCAAGTCTCCAGGTGACACACTTGTCTCCTTCCAGAGTGCTCTTCTCTCTGCCCTTTCTCTGCAGCCACTCATTTGCCCTGTCTCATCTGCTTTCAGAGTCCAGTCTCCAATTCACCTTCCCCACATCCTTTTTGGTTAGTAAGTGTTGTCTCATCTGTGGTTTCACTCCCCTGATTTAACGCTTTACACAACTGGAGAAGGCTAGACCACCCAGGAGATGGATTTGCTGCCCTTACTGCTCCAAGTGCTGCCCTGGGGAGCTGTCAGTGCAATGCAAAGGGGCCCAAAACATCTCATTTCTCTGGGCAGTTTTGTGAAGGAGAGCTCCTTGGAGGGGAGGTATGTGGCTTTTATCACTCTGCTCTCTCCACTGTGCTTCACAGAGGAGGGGGAACCAGGGAAAATCCTACAGATCTGGGAAGGTACGGAGGTACCAAGGAGACATCAGATGTGCACTGAACTTTGCAGTGCCTGGGTGCTGGTCAGGTGGCAGCATAGTTTTGGTGAGTTAGGAAAAGGCATTTGTCTGAGCTCAAACACTCTGGGCAGTTTGGTCATGGGCCAGCAGAAGGTAGGTCCTGTGGTAGATATATCATGCCAGACACCAGGGCTCTGCCTCAGACAAGGCCCCAGTGCCTGAGGAACAGCCTCTTGCCACATGGGGCTTCACATGGAAGAGCACTCAGAGAGCCCTGACATACACCATGGCCCAAGGCAGTGTCACTGCTGCCCTTGTGTTTAGGTACATCCATCAAGGATCAGTGGGAAAGGGGTGCAACCAGCAGGAGAGAGTTGTACTCACAACAGAAAAACACAAATCTCAGTAAAGCCTCAGACAGGAAATACTAAAAGAGAATATAAAGCTTATTTGGGTTTTGGGTTCTTTAGTGGTGCATTTCTCCATATAATTAATTGCCGTAATGAGGGTGAGGCTCTTATCAGACCCATGAGTGAGTCCACCTGGAAAGAGTGGGGGAGAAAAAGGAGAGTTGATTAACATATAAAGAGTGCTAGTGAGAGGTAAAGATTGCTGTTGATCACAAGCAAATTCAATTAGGCTGTGTCCTTTCCTCTTTGCTTTCATGTTGAGAGGTGTTTGCTCACTGTGGAGCCATGGGGATCATTGCTGAAGGTGTGGAGGGAAGCAGCATGCATGGCTCCTGCCCTGCTGGTGGCATTGGGAACGTGGTGTCTGCACCAGTGATGTGACTGCATCTCTCCTCACTGGAACGAGGACTGAAGCTCTGGGAGCTGAGGGGTTGTCAGTCCCTATTAATAAACAGGTATGAGGAATGTCTCTAGGCCCAGAACTGCAATAACAATGGCAGAACTGGTGATGCATGAGTTTGTTCTCTGTGTGAGTGTCCCACATATGCCCATGACCAGAGCCCAGCCCCTAAAGTTGATTCTCAGCAAGACCTGTGGTCCCCTAGGCAAGGAGGAGCAAGAACCTCCTTGCCTTTGCCTTGAGAGATGGAAAGCCCAGGTATGAATGTTGAAAGGTGAGGAAAGCTTTCCTCCTCTTTATTATATACTCCAGGGATTTTTTAAAGAAGGCAATCAGGCTGTCTGACTATGATCTGTGCAGCGCCAAGAGATGCAGCTGTGGGCTGAATGCTCCCAAACCTGCTGATGTTTGTCTGTGCTGCAGGTGTGCTGGACCTCAGTGGGTCAGGGGCAGAAAATGTAGGTGGTATGTGGGTGTATAATGAAACCCCTGCACCCTTGTGCTGCTGTCAGGTTGCAACATATTTGCAATCAGACAAACAAATCAAGGGGCTGGGGAGCCCAGCCGCTCGCCTGCTGACTAATCTCCCCTCCCCACGCCTCTGGCTGCTGAGCCCTGCCGTGGGGTTTGGGCACACAGGAGCCCTGTGGCTTGGCTTGCTAGGAGCTCAATGGGGCTTGTCTGGCAGGAGGAGCCCCCAAGCTGGGGACTCTCCACTAAACCTTTTTGCCCATGGTGTTTTGAGCAGGGTGTAGCAGCAGCAAGAGAATCTCTAGAGAGTGTGATGTTACAGAATAAAAGAGTGGGTGGCAGGGGCTGTTAGCGTGCTGGCAGTAATTCCCAGCTCCGTGACAGTGAGCCACTGATATCATCACACATGCTGGGCCAGATCCCACATTCCTCCTTTTGCCTGAGTACCTGATGAAAGCAGTGGGAATTGCTATCCAAGATAATGATTGCAGGATCAGGTGGATGATGACACCCTGTTTTTCTTATCGCTTTATCTCTGGCACTGCCTCTCTCTCTCTCTCTCTCTCCATGTCTCTTTCCACTAGAAATGTTTTCATGCTGTGCTCACAAATTGTAAGGCGAGCCCCCTGGAGAGCTCCAGTATGTATGTGATCCCTGGAAACTCCAAGAACTTTTAGGGAAAACACTCTTCTGCTTTGTTTCCAGCAATTCAGTTGCATCAGAAGATTCACAAAGCCATGTAATGTCTTGTTGCTGTTGCCCTGGGCAAGCAATTGCTGGGTGCTCTGTAGTGAGGAGCAGCTGAGGAGGTGGCTGGGCAGCAGCACGTGGGGAGAGGTGCAGTAAGATGTCCTGGAGATTCCCTTTTTTTGCAGACCCTTCATCTACACCTTTGAGATCCCACTCTGGACAGTTTACATGGCTGAAGAGATCAGGCATGATAAACAGATCCAAATGTTTGTATGGTTGCTGCTGTGTCTGCTCCCCTGCCCTGGTAGGACTTTCCATGGTGCCCTGGATCTCTGCAGGCTGAGCTTTTCTGGCTCTTTTCCAGAGTAGGAAGGCAAAGGAATTTGTGTCATTTGAGAATCTGAAGGAACCATAGGAACTATGAGCTATACACACTGTTCAAACTCCAGCATTCCTGCAAGTTGAAGCCCTGGGGAAAATGAAACATTCCCCCTGCCCAGGAGAGCATGTCAGCCCTGCTGACAGGCACCCTGAATTAAAATGAGAAGGGTTGGTGTTTGCAAAAAACTCTGCCAAAACACATGATCTGGGAGGTGACACAGCTCTGTAAGTAGCACTGAGCTCTAGATGAACAATGAAGACCTCCTAAATTTACTGGAGTGAAATCAAAGGTAACTGAGGTATCAGTCATGGCCTACCTAAACTGGAATATGTGCCCTCACAGCTGCTGGCACTGGGGGACCCACAGGCTGCTCTGCCTGGGCATCTCTTCTCCTGTGTGGAGGTTGGCCATGGACAAGGGACAGAGGAGGGCAGAGCTGCAGAGGTGTCTTGGTGCAAGTGCAGGAGCACAAATGTGGCAGCCAGACCATTGGGTGGGTGTTAGTCAAAGCAAAGTTCCCCTTTATCCTGTCTGCTGGCCAAGGCTTGGTTGGAAGTGTAACCATAACCCAGCTGGGTTTTGTGCTTGTTTCTAATATGGCAGTAAAAGATTTCTCCTACTTGATGGAGGAGAACTTGCTGAAGGATTTTACATTGCACCCACTCAAATTCTTAGACACGGGAAATGAATACAGATTCAGTTAATAGTTTGTGCATGGGTGATCTTTCTGCCCATGGACAGGCGAGAGATTTGTGTTGTCTCACGTTTGAGTGCTTTTCACACCAGGACCAAGAGAAATGAAGTTGAAATAACCTCCCTGTAAGGACAAGGTAGTTCTTGGTTTGGTGGAAGCAGAGCTGTACTTCAGAGACTGTTTTGACAGCTGTTGGTCTCAAGTGGGCTGTAATCACAAGAGATATAAATTTGCAACTTTCTCCCCATTTTTCTGGGTTGTCTGAGGATCTGAACTACACTCTGCATGTTTGGGCCCCGGGGCTACATAAGAGCAGGTAGGGGGGCCCGTGGGGAGTTGTGCTGATGGGGACCTGCCAAGGACCAATCCTCTGTCATTCAGACATGCTGAGGCTGGAAGTTTTTCAAGTATAACGTGTCAGCTGTATGTGAACTTCATCCTTTTAGGTGACAGTGGCCATAGTGAGGTGGAATCCTCACTTTGTGGTGTCTTTAGGGGCCCCATTCCGACTGTGAGGGCTGGGGAGGTCAGCTCCTTCTTAGAAGATTGGTAGTGGCGCTGCTTGGTGCAGAGACCAGCATCAGGAGCTGTAGGATCCCTGACTCCAGCCCCACACCTGATCACACTTGGTGGCTCTGATTCCTCCCCCCTCTGCAGGATGGTGTCCTTTTCCTTATCTATTTCCTTTCTGTAAGTGCTTTGATCTCTGGGTGGATTCAGTGCCAAAGCCAGGTGTTCCCAGATACTTTTTTTTTCATTTGCAAGTTATCAGTTACTTTGATGACATGTTGCAAGCTTGCCTTAAAAATATTGATTTAGTTGAGGACTGTAGTTGCAAGCAGGCAGGAAGATGCCCTGGTTGGCTTTTAAACACTTAGAGCTGTAAACCAGCAGCTTTCTTGGGAGAGCAGCACCCATCCCAGGATGTGCTCTCCTGCCTGCTCGCTGCACAGACACAGGGGCCAGGCTGAGCTGGTACAAACACCTCGTGTGTAATTCACTACAGCCAGCTGCTGAGGGGCTCCAAGCAGTGCGTCTGATCACGGGACAGCCGTGTGATCCCTGGGTCTGCACAGCACAAGCACTTCATGGGTTTTGAGGTGTGATGAACTGATCCAGCAATTCCTGGTCCAAACTCTGTAACTCCTACTTGAAAACAGCATTTTTTGTTTTGAAGGCATCAGGGTAGGGAAACTCCTCCACTTCGGTAGTTTTTCCGGTGGTTAATAATTCTTGCTGCTAAAAATGTGAGTCTCATTTCTCACATGAACTTGGTTGACTTCTGCTTCCCATTTTGTCTTTTATGCTGGTCTCATCCAGTGTGAGCAGTGGAAGTTGGCCAGATGAGTAAGAGCATCTCAAGCTCAAATTCTAGTAATCCAGCTAAATTTTCTGGAGGACTGCAATTTATTTTCTCCAGGGAAGTGATGGTCAAAATATTCTACAGCAGCTGGTGAGAAATAACCCTTCTGACTTTAAAGAATTGACCCCCATGCTTTCTTCTCTCTCTGCCTCCAACTCTGTTCTCCAGTCCTTTTCTGCAGCTGATTAAGAGGGAATCCCCTGCTGGAAGAAGAAACTGAAATAGAAAAATCCCTTTCCAGGAATGAGCACTCTATGGGTAATCAAGCTGGGATTGCATTGTTCGGAGGAACTTTTCAAAAATCAGACCCACAGCAAGAGAATCTTTTTAAGATCTGCAGAATAAGCTGGCTGGCAGCTTTATATAGAGATGCAATCCAGTTCTTGTGTTTGGAAGCAAAAGAAAAATGCTTCAATATAAGTTTAATTACAGTTGTTTTTAGAAATCCTTTGCAGTGCACGTTTCAGCTAAAACAACCTTGCAATTAATCTTGTAGACAAAAACCTGATGTAACCAAAATCTGATGTAAAATCTATCTCTACTTCCATGTCTCTTCTTGAATTCTAATCTAAAAAGAGAAGAAAAAACTTTAAGGAGCTGAAAGAGAGAATTTCTGTATCTGGATGTTTTTACAGTGCAGTCCTACAAGCCTAAGCTATTAGCATTCAACAAGGAAATATCACCACAATTGTTGCCTGTTGATGGTCTGTATCTCCCACTGACCTGTGCTCACTGGAGAATTGATGATACTTGATGTGACAGCACCACTCTCATAGTGTCTCCTAATCCCAAATGTCAGAGTCAAAACTCCTGTCAATAACTCCTCTGGTTTTTCTCTAACATATCCAGCTGACATGAGTGCCTAGGAGGACTGGGAATCATTTGCAGCCAAGTATTTAATGAGTGTCCATCACCAGACAGGGTTTATTTGTGGCTGTGTGGCCACCTCCTTCTGCACTGAGCTCAGCATGTCACAAAACCTCCTGCCTCCCCAGACAACATCTGCATGGCAGCCAATGTGACAGGCTTCACTGTGCCTTCTCCTGGGGTGCCCAAAATGATCCAATCTAGCCTGACAGCTACAACACACCAGAATAAATATGTATTGTGATGATCCTGTCAGCTGAGACTGGACTGGAGAAATGTCTTCTGCCCAAGTGTTAAATTTGCAGACAAAGAATTGAAGCTGAGCAAATGGATAGAATTGCCTGCTGTAAAAATGGTAGGTACTGAATGGTCCTAAAGCCTGGACCAAATTAAATTCTTTGGGGTTGGTTTGGGGTCGGATTTTTTTTTTTTTTCTTTTTGGTGGTGGAAGGCTTTTCTGTGTGCCTGTGTCCATGTACAGCCCTATGGAGGATGTCAGACTCAACCTGCCCAAGCCATTATCTGGTGTGGTACAAAGCTGCTTCATTTCTGCTTGGAGGAAGACTTTTCTCACATTAGTTTCAAGACTCTGTCCATGCCAGATGCCTGTGTAGCTCCCTGAGCTCCTCCCCCTCCAGGATTAATTAAATTATTTGTGGTTGCACATTCTTGCCTAACTGTAGACAATGCCACAATTCTCTCCTTATCTTCCTAATTTCAACCCTTTTTGTCTTTTTAACCAGAGGTGGTGGAAAAAAAAGAGTCCTTTCCATCCTCCAGGGAGACAGTCAAAGAGTCTTTCTTCTATCACTGACTGACATGTGTGACTTGTCCTAGAAGAAATGGTTCTGTGTTTGGCTTTGGACATGGGTTTCCTCCTCCTCCTCTCTGCAGGTCTGCATTCAGAGGGATGTTTGAATCTTCCCCATAATTCCTGTCTTGGTTGTCTTGGTGCATGACAGGAGGCAGGAGTTTCTGTGGTTTTGGAGTGCAGAAACCATTTGTTAAGAGCAACACACTGTAGATTGTCCTCTGAAGTAGGCAGAGCATTGCCAGCAGCAAAAAGCTGCAGAATCATACATGACTTTTTCAAACATCAGGCTTCACTTTTCCTCTTGTGCACCAGGGTAGATATGCAATGCAGGAGACTTTTACTTAAATGCCAAGTGAAACACAAAATGAGTATATTCATGTCTGAAGCATCTGAAGTGCTCCTCTTATTGAATAAAGCCCCAACACCTCCCACTTCCACACTGTCCCAGAGCACTTCCTGCTGAAGGCAGGCAGCTCTAAGCCCTGAGCACTTGTGCCTGCAGCTGACCAACCCATGGCACCAAAATCCAAAGGGTCTCAGATAGGGAGAATGAGCTTTGGCTGCCTCTGGCCCCTTCCTGGTTTCCAGCTCTTTCACAGGGTAAATTGAGCCTTTGTCCTGCTCAGCATCATGAGGCCAGGCTCCTGCCAGCAGGGACAATGCCCTCTTGTGAAGGAATAAGCCTGGAGGGAGGGGGCTGAGCTGTGCAGCACCTTCCAGCACCAGCCTCTGCTGTGGCTGGTGCCAAGGTGGGTGTTAATGGAGGGAGGGATGCCCACCTGCTGCTCCTTCTGGGGAGTGATTGCCCCCAGCACCCATCTGCACCATCTCCCTCTTGCACGTGTCTGTCCCCACAGCAAGAGCAGCAGAAGCAGACACATCTACCTCTCTCCTGTGTGGGGTTTTTTTTAAACCTGGGAATTATCTTAAAATAGAGCCACCTACACCACACTGAGGTGAATGGCCAGCACACGCAAATTCATCACTCTGGGCTTAAAGCTGCAGCACGGAAAGGGCAAAGAAGGGCCAAAGTGTGAGCTGGTCAAGCTGAGGCCTCTGGAAATGTCAGCAGAATCTGTGTCAATCAGAGAGAAATTCCACAGGCTTGTCCCAAATCTACTGCAGGTCTGCACTTGGCAGGGAGGACTCATCACACCTCTGTTCGTGGTCCCTGCAGGAGCCCTGTGCTGCTCCAGGACACCCTGAGGAGAGGGCTTGGACCCACAGTGGGAGAGGGGAGCAGATACTTAAACCTGCCTTTAGGAATGATATTGAGGTATGCCAAAATATGCAAATTGATCTTCTGTGCTCTGCCTGCTGCAGTGAGGATGATTTGTCCCCTCTTTAAAAACATCAGGAGAAGATGCACAGACAGTCTTGTCACACTAACCTTGTGACAAAGTAGAGTCACCATACAGGAAAGCCACGCTGAGCTGAATTCTCCAGGCCTGTCTCAGCCTGTTGCTGCCTTTCTGTGGACTCTCTGCTGCCACACCACCAGAAGGGACCAGGCAGAGGTAAGCCCTTAGAAGCTCCATTGTTTGCACATCTCTCTCTGCTTTCCCTCTCTGCCTCTGGAGGTTTGTGCTCAGGTGTCATACCTCGTGTGGGACACCTATAGGGGCTGCTGGTATTTCTGGCTAGCTAGAATGCACAGAGTGCTGTTCTAATCTGTGTGGAAAAGAGTGCCTGTCACCATACATTCATAGCTCAACATGGTGCCAGGCACAGCCCCAGGAGCAGACTTGCAAATCACAAATGTGTTTTATTCCTGGAAAAGCTCTAGTTGTTCCTTACGGGTAGGCACTTCTGGGGTTGTTAGGATAAAAAAAGGAGCAGCAGCTTGAGCAGCCTGTTTTCTGTAGACTCAGTAGTAGGACAGGAATGCCATGTCTGCACAGTGAGCAGTTTCTCTAGGACTGACCTCCCTTGGTGGAATGATTTCTAAAGAAAAACCTGCATTTGTGTATCTTTCAGCCCCTTGGGTTCAGGTGCCCAAGGTCTTTCCAAATCAGTCCAAATATACATCTTTCCCTTTCCTGGTAGATGAAGGATGTGCTGTAAACCACTGGAACTGTCAGTGATTCAGCTGGTGGATGATGTATCAGATGTCCCTATTCCCAAAGCACTACTGCTGAGGTCTTGGTATATGTCCCAGTACCCAGCCTTCCCAAATGGGACACTGCCCCTTAATCCACACTCCTGATACAGCACTGCTTCCCAGAGCACTGTCTGTTAAGGGGCTCCTGAGGGATCCCAGGGGTGCAGGAAAGGAAACATTCACATCTGTGCCACGTTCCTGGAGGAGGAGGTTGGTGGGAAGAGAGATGAGCAACTGCCATGGAGGCTCACTTTGCCACCCACTCCTAAACTGGACTTCCAGTATCACTGTAAGTAATGCTGGACAAATGTTCTGGCAAGTGACAAATTGTTTCCCAGCTCAGCTCCATTCTCTTCCCACCTTTTTTCCCTGTGAGTCAACTTCTGCCTACACAGATGCTTCCAGAGCAGCCCGAATGCCCTCTTCGTTTTGTGCTGATGGGATGGTGAGTTTGCACTGAGGCACAGTTTCTACCCCTGGATTTCCAGATTTTCCTGCATGTGGGCAGAGAGCAGAATGATGCTGAGTGACTGAAGTCCCTGTTCACAATTCAGGAATAATAAAGACTGCCAAAGCTTGCAGCCCCAAAGCCACGTTCCATGGGACCTCCAGCACACAGTCAGGCAGCAAATGGCTGCAGTGATATGAAATGTGGTGTCTTTGTGCTGATCTTCAGCCAGAGGTTACACTCCTCACCCCAGAGCTGGAGTGGTGATGGTGATGGATGGTCCAGGTCCTCCAGCACGGCAACCACAGGTTCTGCTGGGACCTTTCTGCTGATATCTTGGCAAAGGAAAGCAAAGCTGAATCTGCAGGGTGCAAAAGGGGTGGAGCAAGCAGCAGTTTATAGGAGGAGCATTTTCCTCATGCTCTGAAGGACTGAATGTAGGATGAGACCCTCTGCTAGCTGTAGGCTATAAGGTAGCCCTAGAGATCCTTTACTGTGAGCAGTCTCTGTCAGAATGGTCATTTCCCAGGACAAACTTCAGCAGAGCAATGGGAAGGGCTTGACTTTGAATGTTTTTTTCTCTTTAATAAACAAGAGACTCTTAATAAACCTGGAAATTCCCCTTTTAAATTTGATACGCTGGCCTCTTCCAGACTCCAAGCTTCAGGTTGGAAGTAATAGGAAGTGAGATTAAATGGGCTGGAAGCTGAAGGATAACAGGACTGAGAACCCAAGCCCTGCTTGCTGGGGTGCAGCTTGCCCACCAATGGGCAAGGCAGTTTCTGGTGCAAGAGCTCCTGTGCAAGAGGCTGTTTGCCATAGCTGCAGAGGAAATCAGCTGTGTCACCCCACAGGCTTTTCTGTCAGTAGGAAACTCTGCTCATATTAGAAGCAGCAGCATTGTATTGGCAAGGGTTTCCAACACAAAGTTGACTTAAAAGAAATGAAGGTGTTGCAGTGGTACAACTGTGTGTTTGATGATACCAATACAAATAATTGCTCATGTCCTGCTGGTCTCAGATCTTGTTCTCCCTACAGGACAGAGGTGAGCAAAAGCATGGCAGGTATCAGCCATTATTTTTAACTTTTCTGTTTTTAAAGGAATGGTGTTGTTGCTGGTATTTACTTCCATTTTACCTTACCTTAAATGTGATCTCCTCTTACTCTGCCTGTGAAATACAGGGGTGGAATGCAGTCCTACTTGCACAAAAGGCTTTGGTGCAAAAAAAATATCATGGGCCCAAAGTGATAGGGAAGTTTTATTTTATAAAGATGCTCAAGTGAGCTGTGCCATCAAAAGGATACAAAGTCGAAGCCACATCCTGCCGGCTTGGCTAATCCATAAAAGAGCTTTCAGTGTTTTCCCTTGGAGTAACAGCTTTAAATTTTAATAAGCTGTAGTGTACTTTCACCGGATGTAATAAGCTGATACAAAGTTTAAATGGGGTTAAGTAAGTAGATACCTGGGAGAAAGGAACATAAAAGATCTAAAGTATTTCCTCTCTTTTACAAGTTTATTTCACTGAGTTTATTTTGGGAAAAACATATTTTGTTCAAATTATTTTTTGTTCTCTGTATGATTCAGTATCAGGGGAGGGAGACAATATTTGAAGCAACCACAGAGTAACTTGAGCAGAGAGGACATTAGGTAAAAAGAAATAAATTTATCAAGTTATTAATTCAGGTAACTTTACCATTTAATTTTAGGACAGTTACCAAGTCGCAGGCATGTGTGCCTGAACGTGACCCACATAATCCTGTAAAACAGGGATTTGTAGGAAGGCTCCTTCAAAGGTCATCCAGCCCACCTGTACCCCGAGGCAGGATCGATCCTGTTAAGTCTTTCTGGGCAGTTTTGTTGAGTCTGTTCCTGGAGCCCTCAGCCATGGTGAGCTGCAGCCTCAGGGGGCGACCCCAGGGCTGGCTCTCAGCTTCCCTGCTCGTGCAGCGGCTGTGCTGCCTTCCCTGTGAGCTTCGCCCATGGTACTGCTGGGAGAGACAAGCTCTGCTCTATCTGCCCCAGCCTCCCCCAGCCCACTGGCTCCAGCTCTCCTCTTTTCCCCACAGCTGCCCTCTAGACACCCTGAGCAGACCCAAACTGCTCTCAGAAACACCATCTAGGGTCATGTCCAAAGCCAAGATCTACTTTTTGTGTGTTGTCTGTTTGCAAAGGTGGGATAAAGAGCTTTGTGGGCATGGGATGTGCAATGCTGTGCTTGTGCTGGAGTGAGTGAGCTGGTTTGTAGTCTGCACCATGACCCTCTGGTTGCCCTGTCCTTGCTGTGTCATGCCTGGGGACCCCTGAAAACAAGCAGGGGCTGTGGGGTGGGAATTTTTCTTGTTACTGGCAGTGCTATAGATAACAGAGCCATATGGGGGGTTACTGAACGTGTTTGTTTGCTTATATCTGTGTAGCCTACTGAAATGGCTCCAAAACATTCTCAGCTAAAAGTGTGAGCTGTTCCATTTTGAGCTTAAGAAGTCATTTCTGTACCCAGGAGCTGTACTCATTCTCGGTGGAGTGGGCATAGTAGCACACACTGTGCAGTGGATTATACTTATGTGATTATAGCCTCTAGGCAACAACCTGGTGCTTAAGAAATGAGTCAGTCAGAAAGACCAAGGCAGAGGGAATCAGATTCAGCAACGATGAGATTTGCTTCCAAAAGATCTGGACTGAAGTATACAGCATTCCTTCATGGTATGCTTGTCCTAATAGCCAATTAAACAGCATATATAGGAATATTTTACCTTACTTGGTGTCTCACAACAGTGTAAAGAAGCAATAAGCACACACAAGGTCTTGCAGTATGACAGGTTAGTTGGGTACAGAAAGGCAGGAATAGCTGAGAGAAGTGAGGGAAACCCCAGTCAGGCTGGTGAAAGCTGTGTTAGTGCAAGGAGATTTGCCTATGCAGAATAGGAGCAAGTTCCTGAGAAATACATCCAGGAAAAGGGAAGAGACAGGATGAGAAGGCAAGAAATGCACATGTGGGGCAGTAGTAGCAGGAAGAGAAAAGAACAAATGAGAACTGGCAAGTTGATAAAAGAACAAAAAGGCTTTTGTTCTCTCATTAAAGGCAGCTAACTGCAGAAATCATTTTCCCATGTAAGCAATTACTGCAGCTACCGCAGGGATAGTATGTGGTTGGAAATGGGAAGACAGGTTCTTTACATTCATAACTGGGTCTGGCAACTGTTCCACCAATATGGCTCATGGTGCTGGGGGCCATATCAGGCAAGCAGAGAAACTGAAACTTGATTGTGCAGATAGATGGATTCCCTGTTTTAAAAATTATCTTCCATCTGTATGCAGGGTTAAGCCACCAGCTAGTGGAACAGAAAGAACAGAGGCTTCTAAAAGGTGTCAGGAGGTTTGGTTCATTCCTTTTTCACTGCTGACTGTAGCTGTTGACAGCAGCTTCCAGCAGTCAGTGCAGTCGCACTCACACAGGCATGAGTCAGGTAAAAATCAGACTAAGACTGAGATTCCCTTTCAGCCTGATTTTCAGAAATGCTGAGTGCAGGCAACTCATGTCTGTGTCTGATAGTGCTTTTCACCCTGTAGAATCAGCTTTTGGCAACAGGTGTTCTGTTGGGGCTGAGAGAAATTCATAGTGAGATGAATGATCATGATCTGATCTTACATCCTAGACTGTATTTCATGAGTGGCCAAGTCATGACACCAATGAGGTCTGAGTCTGACAATCTCCTGTTGCCACTGCTCAGCTGACCTAAGCCCTGGGTATAAACTTCAGTGTCTTGAGACTCTCCATTTACTGGCACAAACCTATCTCACTGCTTGTCCTGTAAATGTTTTGACATCAGCCACTCCAAAATTAGAAACTGATGATATGGAAAGCTTAATAACATTAAAGAAATGCCAACCCATCTTCTCTGCTGCCTTGTGCTATGCTTTGTTCATCTGAGGAATTTCTTGCATTTCCCAACCAACAGGAGGATGTGGGGACAGGATTGTTCCCCAGCAGGGGTATGAGGCAGCTCAAGCCCCAGACTTGGACCCCATGGCATTGAGGTTACTCTCTAGAGCACCTCCCTGACCTATCTCCTGTATGATCTTTGGTCTTCTCCTCATTCTCCTTTCTAGGAGCTCACTGGCTTTGTCTCACCTTTGGTCTTGCTGAGATTTGGCCTTAACTCTTTGGAGTTACAAGCACATTTGTAACATCCAGAACAAAACATCCACATCTCAGCTGAGACAAGTCAAGCCCTAGAAACGTGGCTGAGCCTGTGTCTTTTGCTCCCCAAGAAATGGTGTTCATTTAGTCATGTAAGCCTCCTTGTAAAACACGTTTTGAGTTTTATTCTGCCCAAAAGACATTTTTCACTCTTGGGCAATACCTTCTGGATGCTGTTCCCTTGGGTGGAGGTCCAGCCGCACCCCTCGGGAGATGCGGTTGGCCGCTCCCCTTTGCAGAGCTGAGAACAGGCAGAAACAAAGAGCCGAGAGGAGGTGGGGAGGGCAGAAGGGAAGAGTGAGCTAGATTAGGGGAAACAGCCTGGAAGAAAAGGAAAGGACCAGCTGATCTGAAAGTCTCGATAAAAGCCCAAGACAAAGGCAGAAAGAGCCTGGGAGATTATCAGGGGAAGCGGGAGGAGGAGCAGAGAGATGCAGCAGAACCTAAGTGGGAATGATGTAAAATGCTGCAGGGAGGAGGGGAACTTCCTACCTAAAGCGGAGAGTGGTTTAATTTTCTCACCCACTTCCATTTACAGGAATCCAGGCCCTTTCTTTCTTCTGGCTGGGAGCACCCGAATAACGAAGGAGCTGCTCCTGCAGGAAAGAGTACCCATGTCCATCCCATAGCCCTGACAGCTCAGCCCCAATTGCTCATCTGTTTCCAAGTACAGCTGAGACATTTTGCTGGTGGGCAGAGAAGTCAGGGACACTGCATCCAGCACCCTGCAGCAGAGGAAGCATTAGTATTGCTGTTGTTAGCCTTGTTATTTTCTCCTAATAAAAAGGTGGTCGTGACTCACTGCATTAAGAAACAAAAGCAGAGTTGTAATCTACTGAAAGGCAGTTGTTTAGATGTTTAGCATTAGGTGTGTAAAAGGAGGAAGGTCAGCTGCAGGTCAGGTCTGGTGATATACACCCTGCCAGCAGCACGGACCAAGCTTCAGGTACTCCCTGGAGAACCGATTTTCTGGGCTGGGGTAATTTGCCCCGGCTTCAGAAGTATCACTTCAGGCAGGAGTGTGGAAGGAGAAAAAGCTCTTTTTCTCACCCTTCCACATTTCAGTTGGGTTTCCTGAGAGGAAATGATACTGTGGCTGTGCTGGCCCCCTCCTTCCTCTCAGGAGGGAGGAGCACGCCAGCATCTGCTCACAGCACCTCTTCCCTCCCTATGCCCCACTGGGACCAGTTTGCCAGCTGGGCTGTTCCTGGGGTCTGAGTCCCAAGGGAAGCAGGCTGCTTGTCAGGGAGGAAACAGTGGCCCCTGAGGCTGGGGGCTGAGAGATAGCAAAGGCAGGTTGTGTTCAGGTGGTGTGGAGGTTTCTTGTGTGAGCAGGACTGGGTCACAGCACCCCTGCCTATGCCAGATCTCCCACCTAGTCCATGTGAAGGCTTTTGGCACAGCTGTGGTGATCCAGTTCTGACAGGAACCGTGCTGGCACGTGGGTCTCACCCAGCCATGTGGCTCTGCCAATGCCCAGCTGCCTCCCAGGGTGGGTGCAGGGCAAGGGAAGGAGCCAGGCTGCCAGGATGGCAGTGGCCAGGTGAAGACAACGCCCACGCTGAGATGTGCTGTGAACATCTGCCCCTACCCACAAGCTACTTCTATTTTTGTTCCATCTCATACCCTGGCTGACTCAGAGGAGGGGAGTGAGGGGGGGTCAGGTTAGAAGAAGCCAGATGGGAGGACTGTAGGGGAATTGAAAGAGGAAGAGGAGTTGCTTCAAAACCAGTAGTTGCCATTCTTTCAATCAGCTTTTCTTTGCACACTATTTAGTGCTTCTCTGTTTCAGCTGCAGGCAATTTGAGGCAGGGATGGCACTTCCTGCCTGCTCTTGAGGTGAGCATTCTTTCAGGGCACCATCAGAATAAATGACACCCTGCTCTTAGATAGCTCCACTGTCATCTGGCTGGGCTTTAATGAGCTTGACTGGAGTTCACCCTTTTGCTTAACTTCTTCTAGGAATTTCCACTCATCATTTTGGTGCCTTTACAAAACTATCTCCAATGAAAGGGCAAGTGCCAAATTTCCTAATTCCTGTGTGTCTTAGTGTCATGACTTCTGGACACAGGCACAGTCAGTGGTCTGTGGTGTAAGTCTTGCACATCATTGAGACACAATCTTGCAGCCACATGGAAAGGGACCCTCCACTCAAACAGCCATACCAGCAATTTTCACATTTATTGAAGGTAGCCCTCTCTTCCTTGTCCCCATTGCTTCAGAGCTTTCACTAATTTTGCAGAAATGGCACATCATGCTTTGTCCCAGTCCACTACTCTTCGTTCGTTCCTTAGGCTGTAAACCTTGGGCTAAGTACCAGCATCCTCGGGGTTGTTCCCCAGGCAACAACCTGGGGATCGGTGTTCTCGCTGATCACTCAGTTGCCAAAGCTGCCTTAACGCAAACCATGGCCTAAGCAGGGGACCCAGCTCTTTCCGAGGGAATCCAGGAGCGGGCAGCTCCCACCCCGCGGGCAGCAGAGCTCTCGCAGGCAGGAATGCCTGGGCTCAGGCTTTTCTGGGGGTGAGAACACACAGTGAAGGGGGAATAAAGAGAAATGAAACTCCATTCGCAACCTGGTGCGAGAAGCCTGCCCCAGCGCTGCCCTTCCTTCCTTCCTCCCTTCTTTCCTTCCCTCCCCCTTCCCCCCGCACGCTTCCCGACTCTCCTGACGCGCTGGGGAGGGGGCGGGGGTGATGTCGGGATGAGCCCCATCCGATGAGTGGAGAATTTTTGCAGCGTTTTTCAGCTTCCTCTCCTCCGATGCTGACCTACCGCCGCTAGGGAGGGAGGGAGGGGATCCCCGCCAGGGGGCGGGCGCGGGGCGGGGGATCTCCATCTTT